ACACAGTAACCCGCCTTATCCTCAAGGGATACATTCCAGGGCCCTGCTGAATGTCTGAAACTGCAGATCCCCATCTACACTGTTCTCCCCTGTACACACATACCTATCATAAATCTTAACTTAAAAATCAGGCACAGGTATTAATTTAGCAGAAGTTCGTATTTAGTAAGTATAAAGTATAGCCCTGACTGGTGTGGCTCAGTGGGTTGGGCATCCTCCCCCAAAGCCAAGGGTCCCCGGTTCGATTCCTGGCCAGAGCACATGCCTGGGCTGTGGGTTTGGTCCCCGATTCAGGCATGTGAGAGAGGCAGCTGATTGATGCTTCTCTCTCGCATCGATGTTCCGCTTCCTCTCTTTCTCCCTCCCTCCCCCTCTCTCTAAAAATAAATAAATGAAGTATATTTTCCCAGATAGTTTTTTCCTGTACTTGCATACCTAGCAGAAAGTTCCATGTATAAATCAGGCACAGTAAGAGACAAGCACGTTGACTCTGGGACAGTCGATCTGGTAACGGAGATGCCCACTGAGTGACTAACAGACGGTAGCCCGAGCAGCGGGGGTACGCAGCACAAAGGAGTGAGTCGTGTCCCAGCGGGACGGAGCCGGACAACATACGGTTCCACGATGCTGCTCGGAGCAACGTACAATTTAAAGCATGCGAACCGTTTATTTCTGGAACGTTCCACTGAATACTTACGGACCGTGGTTGACCACAGGTAACTGAAACCACAGGAAACGAGACTGCAGATCCGGGGGACCACTGCCGTCCGAAGCAGCAATTTCTAACCTTTTTCATCTCGTGGCACACATAAATTACTCAAATTCTGCAGCACATCAAAAAATATAGCATTTTTTGCCAATCTGACAAAAAATAGGTATGATTTTGACTCATTCACACTGGATGGCTGTTGTCACTTTTTCACCTGACAAGTCCGGGGGCCCCGGACTACAGACACAGTCAGTGCTGCACGTTTTAAAAACCTGACTATTGAAAAGTGAAAAGCCACTGCGTTATGGCATGACGGACAGGGCTTTTTGTTTGTCTTGAGCAAATCCTCATCATTCCGAAATGCACCCCGAAATATGACGGTATGGTGCCGGGCGGGGCGTGGCGGGGAGGGGAAAGGAGGCAGCCGACCATCGGCAGCCGCCGAGGCACAGGGATGGGTCCAGAGCGCCCGTCAGGCTGTCTCTCTCTCCTCGTGTCATCCGCAGTTCAGACTCCCCATCACCAGGGACACGGGGTTCCCGGCTGGCACTCAAAGCCGTGCGGGACGGGTGTGCTGACTGTCAGCCGGAGCCCTGAATGCCTCCGCCGCAGCCCCCACGGCATCCACACCCTGTGATGCATTCAGCCACCTCGGCTACGCACCTGTGGCTCCCTGGGGGGACCCACCCTGCTTCTCGTCCCTCAGGGAATGGACTGCAGGGGCCTCCTGACCCCACTTTCCCCTCGGGCACCACTGGGCGGCTCTGGCTCCGACTCCTCCCCTGCGCACTGAGGGAGCTGGTGGGGGGCAGGGCCGTGTCTCCCTCACGCCCGGATCCCCAACACCCAGCACAGGGCCTGGCCCAGCGCCAGAGCTGCCTGAGTCTCTCTGAGAGGACGCCCCCCAAGCACTGGCTTCCTCGAGGCTGACGGGTGACCTTGCATACGCTAGCGGACACCACGCCACCAGTTGGGGTGTATGGCAGGGACTAAGTTTTGATCAGCTTTCGGGTGTCCGCATCTACTGACGCTTCTGGCAGGACTGGTGTGAGAACTAAGGTGGATCGTGGCCTTGGAGGTGCTGTGGAAATTGTGGGGGCTGTGCACACCTGAGAGGTCGCCCCTGTCGGTGGACGAAGTGTGTGGTGCACCCACACAACATTCCCAACCTCAGGGCTGGAGGGAGCTGAGAGACCCAGCCGACGGACCCCCATGGGGAGAAAGGGAAACCTCCACAACAGCCCCCAGAGCAGATGGGAAAAGTGAGGCCTGAGGGGTCGAGGCGCCCCCTTGCACTACCCGGGCAGTGAGGTAAGGATTGTGTGGGATTTGGAGCCCCCTACTGCACACCCAGGGGACCCCCTTAACCATGACTCAGTGCCGAATCACTCAGAAAGTTCTGGACCCCACTAATGGGTGCACCACAGCGCCCCCTGGTGTTCCTGGCACCTGGTGCACCCCCGGGGCTGTCCCTGGGGGACTCCCACCCAGACCCAAGTGGCTGGGCACCGATCCTGCTGGGGCAGGGGCTCACCTGGGCTCTCCCAGGCGTGTGACAGGGCTCTGGGGAGCACTCTAGGGCGGAGAACAGGGATGTGAGACCTGGCTGGGGGGAGCATTTCGAAGCAGGATTTGTTTGCAAGCAAAACCCCAGGTGTGGGCTCTGAAGCAGGGCCCGACCTCGGCGTCCGGGAAGAAGCCAGCCTGGCCTAAGACGGGGCGCTCAGGTAGGGCGGGGCATCGCCTCTGCCCGCCCCAGGGAGCCAGGGTCGCGGAGTCCAAGGCCTCCCTACCCAGAGCCCGGTCCACACGCCCCTCAGTGATTCGGGGCAGGCCGCTTCCTCCTCTGAGTCTGTCTCCGTGCAAACACCGAGGGGGCTAGAGATGACAGGGGACAGGGCTCTGAAGAAGGCCCAGCGGGGCACCGCGGCGATGGGGCACTATCGGTCCTTTCTGGTCAGCGGGACGAGGTCGGGAAGGACTTCGCAGAAGCAGGATGTTCCCTCTGGAGTCTGAGGCTGCAGGCGGGTCAGGAGCCGCCCAGGGACAGGCAGCAAATCGGTGACAAAGGCCGGACGAAACCTGGGCACAGGCCTGACCCCACCCCTTGGCTACTCCCCTCCATCCGCCCAGCCACCTGTGCGGAGGAACACGGGCCGGTGTACCCCCTCCCATCCTCCGGGGCCCACCTACGGAAGACCAGAGGGCTCCTCCCCACAGCCTCAGCGTGGCTTTCTGCTTGCTCCACACAGGCTGGTCTGGGTGCCCCCGCAGAAAGTCCTGCCCGGGTGCTGGCCCCTGGATGGGTGTCAGGAGACCTGGTTCCAAACTCCTTCCTGCTGTCTGACCTTGGGGTCGGCCCATAAAGCAGGGGGAGGAGGAGTGGGGAGAAAGCCTGGGGAAGGGGTGCTCAGGGCTGGGAGGGGGCGGGGCTAAGTCAGAGCTCCCCAACGGGAGGGCGGGACTCGCCATGAGAGACTGCACACCACCGAGGCAGGCAGGGGCACACAGACTTTATTGGGGCCACACAGTGGGCACGGCAGAGGCACTCACACGCCCGCACAGGGCAGCCAGTCTGCACGAGAGGGTCCCCAGAGCTGCAGGGAGAGGTCAAGCAAAGAGGCAGAGGGCCTGGCCTCCCCAGAAAGCCAGTGGAGAAGCCAGGCAGGCAGTGCCGGGGCTGTGAGCACGCGCGGAAGAGGCCAGAGCTGCGAGTTAGAGAGGACCGCTGCTCACACCACAGCCAATCTCCCACCTAAAGAACCCAGACCCCACACTCGCTCCTGTCTGCACGCCTCCAAAGTGGGCACCTGCCCTCCCAGCCGCCTCGGCCAGCGGGGGAGGCTCCAGCCCTCCAACTGTCAGTGCATCTGTTCCCAGGGCCCTGCGGCCCCCGATGGCTTTGTTTCATGAGGGAAAGGTCATGGGCACGCCCCCGCCAAAAACCGGGGCTGGCCTTGAGACAGGGTGCTGGGGGCACTTCCTGAGGGGCCCTCAGCAGACACCAGGCAGGTCGGCCCCTCCTTCCGAGGGGGCTCGCTGGGTCTGTGTGGTGTGAAGGAGGATGAGGCTTGGGGCCAGAGCTGCGTCTGCTATAACCGGGTCGCAGCCTCCCTGACTGGTGGGCGGGCTGTGCTCAGGGGCTGCCCGTCACAGCACGCTGCCACCTCCAGCCCACTTCTGACCATCAGCCACCACAACTGCCCCGCCAGGCCACCCTTACAGCCTCCATCCACTGATGACGCCAGAGATGCCACAGCAGATGGGGCACCTGAGGCCCCAGAGGACCTCCTGTCCCGGCTCCAGGGCTCGAACCGGACTGCTCTATCCAGCACCCCCACCCCTGGCGGAGGGGAGCCCCTGTGCCGCACTGTTCCCATCCCTGCACGGGCCTCAGGGCCTCTCAGCTCGTGAAGCCCCTCCCCAAGGTCATCCTGACCAAGCCCCCAAAACGGGCCGCTCATGAACCAGCTGGGCAGTTATGTAGCAGACCACCTAAAATCAGGTTTGTCTGCAGGGCAGGTACAGACTCCAGAATGTATCCATGTGAATACAGCGTGCTCTCTCTCAGTGCACATGTACTTGTGCACACAGACACACCTCTGTGTGACTTTGCCATGTCCCATTCACCTCTCTCCTCCTGCAGTAGTTCTCAGAAGAGCAAGAGATGGCTGCATGGCCTCCAACGCGCCAGCCACTCCTCACCGTCCAAACCAACACCCACAGCCACCCTGCCCGCTGTCCTGAGGGCCCCTGAAGCATTGTGGGACCACACCAGGCCTGTCCAGGAGCAGCGCCTTCCTGATGTGGCCAGACAGGCGGCCAATGCCTGTTTGCTGGCTTCCCCACGGAGGCTGTCCTGCTGCCTCCGTCTCCCCATCCCCAGAGGAAGCCCAATGGCTGGTTCTTTGGATCTCTCTCTCTCTCGCTCTCTATCTACTCCCTTGGTCTCCCTCAGTCTCTCTCTCCCAACACGAAGGCACAGAGGAGGCAGATGCCCGTGGACCCTCCACTTCCCTGCGCGAGCCCGACCTGGCCTCTGGTCTACGGCGAAAGCAGCGGCAGCCAGTCCAGCTTCTAGCCTACTGAGCCTTTGCTTCTTCCTCCCTACTCAGGAGCACCAGCACCAGGGAGAGGAGCGCAGGAGGGACACAGGCTTGGGGGATCCTGGCCAAGCTGAGTACAGGACAGCAACGAGAAAAATGTCCCCAAACACACGGACAGGGGCAGGGCTCTTGGGCAGGGGATGGGACAGGGGGGCGGAGGAGGGGGCAGCAGGGAACAGCCGCCATCAGAGCTGGTTAAAGACCACGGAGGCCTTGAGGTTGGCGGGCTCCAGGCCCTCGCTGAAGGTGATGAGGAAGTACATGACCTTGCGGATCTTGGCCAGGTCGGACAGGCGCTCCCCGAACTCCAGGGCGTCGGCCTCGTTCCAGTCCATGGCGTCCGAGTCCTCCTTGCGCCAGAAGATGGCGGCAGGGTCCAGCAGCTGGCGCGTCATGAGGTTGGTGAGGTCAGGCGTCCAGTTCTGGGAGGTGCCCGTGATGGTGACCTTGCCTGGCTTGTCCAGCACGACGTCCCAGCGGTCGAACTGCAGCTTCTGCTGCTGGATGAAGTCGAGGCGGTACACGGACTCGGCTGGCCGCAGCAGCTTCTCACCGTCCTGGCGCTTCTCCCCACGCTGCTTCAGGGTCTCCACGCGCAGCCGCATCTGCTTGGTCAGGTCCTGGTCCAGGACCAGAGGCATGCTGAGCTGCGGCTGCTTCGGCCCATCCTCTGCCATGGCCCAGGTGCTGCTGCTGCTGCTGCTGCTGCTGCTGCCTCTGTTGCCTCTGTGTCGTCCAGGAGTGCAGTGGGCTGGGGCCTCACTGCCAAGGCAAGAGGCCACCAAAGAGGGGCCCCGCCTACCCTCGCACCCTCCCCTCTCCTCTTGGCCACTGGCCCTTCCCAGCTCCACCCCGGCCTCCAAACGGGCGTCCCCAGTGCCTCCTCTCCACTCCTCACTGAGGTGGTGACGGGGCTCTGCCGGCAGCCAGAGTGTGACAGGCCCCCAGGGGACCAGACCGCTGATGTCGACTGCTGTGGCAACCACCCTGACTACCATGGATGGGCTGGCAGCCGGCTTGTTTGTGAAGAAGGGAGCACTGTGTCAGGGCAGTGAGGTGGGGAGCAGGCGGGGGGCGGGGGCTCACGGGAGGCATGCCGGAAGAGCCCAGGAGAGCCCCTGGCAGGGGCGTGGGGGGAACAAGCACCAGCGGGGCCCACTGGTCTGAGACTTGAAGTCACCCAGGCCTAACCTAGGAGCCACCCTTGACTCAGCACAGCCCCCAGCCCTCCACACCCCATCCCCAAGGCCTGTCAATTCTGTGTCCCAGGTACCCCGGAAACCCTTCCACACCCCCACCCCCACTGCCAGAGCTCCAGCCCAGCTGCCACGGTGTCTCTCACCTACACCGTGTTCTCAAGCTTCAGGGAGCATCAGGGCCACCGGCAGGACTTGAAACACGGACCTCGAGGCCCCACCCCCAGAGTTTCTGATGTGCTCAGCACTGGTGCAGCCACAGCCCCCTGCTCAGCCACCAGACGGCAGCGGGAGAGGACCCACCGAGGTCGGACACAGAAACGACAGGAGAAACGATGCTCCAAACTCGCACATGGGATTGCGAAAATGTGTGTTTAGAAATGAAACAATCAAACACCTCTTTAACCTCAAACAGCAGAAAGACTGGGAGGAACTAGAGAAAACCCTTAACACTGGCTGTTTCTGGGTGAAGAAACCTTCAGTAACTTTGCACTTTTTCCAATCTTCTGTGCCCTGGCACCGAGAATGGTGCCGGGGCACAGCTGGCGTTCAGCTGACGAGTGGCAGCCGAACCGACAGGAGTGACCTGGCCGCACCACAGGGGCCAGGTGGGATGGGAGGCCCTGAAATGGAACCAAAACACAGCCCAGCCCTGTGGCTGCCCGCCCCCCAACACTCGATCCCTGACACCCAGGCACCCCTGGGACTCTGCTCTCACTTCTGCTCCTGTGGCCAGGGGCACAGTGGACTCCTCCAGGCCGGGGCGCCCAGGAGCCCACAGCAGGGATCAGGCCGGCCCCAGCACCCGGGTGTGCCAGGTCCTGGGGGAGATGGACTCTTCCAGCTCGGATCAGGCCAGGCCCCACGGCACATGCTCCACCCCACGGTCACAGCCCAATTTCTGGCCCACCCCAAGTCTACTGCCCTGCCCCGGGGAATGTACAGTATAGTCAGGTGGGGGAGCATCATGCCCCCACAGGGGGTCCCATAGTGGGGGCGGCCCGCTGCCAAGGCGTGACTGGTGGAACAGGGAAATAGGTGGGAGCCCAGAGGACGGGCAGGGAGGGGGGTTTAACACATGCAAATTGCCCCTTATGCTATGGTCTTGTCCCCACCCCCACCCCCCACCCAACACACACAGGCTCCTTTAATTGTCCCACAACCCTGTGGACTGGAAAGGTCAAGTTTACACTGAGGCGAAGAGAAGAAACATGACCTGCTCAGTCACATGACTAGCAAAGGACCCAGCCAGAATGAGACCCAGGTCTGGCTGGCTTCAAACCATGGTCCCCAGGCTGCATCACGAACTGAGACCAAGGCCGGGCTGCCCAGAGAAGGGCGCATGCGTGGCAGAGGCACAGTTTGCCCACGTCTGAGTGAGGTGGGTGGGGCAGCAAGGGTGCAGGCAGGCTGCATCTCTCCATTCCGTGGAGAGAAGCAGGCCCCGGAGGTAAAGGGTGACAACAAACAGGGCCCAGCCAGCAGGGACAGGGAGGGAGGGCAGGCACAGTAATGAGCTCCCTGGGGCCAAGTCTCTCCGCCCAGGACCCGGGGGGGCTGTCACCAGAGCAGCACCAGGAGCAGAGTGCAATTAGTCCGGAGCACCCCACCCTGCCGCAGGCTCCTGGGGACACAAGCTCCCGGAGACCAGCCTCCCGGCCCGGCCCGAAGCCTCCAGCTGGGCCTGGTGCCCTGACACCACCCTGCAGGAGGAGCTGTCAGCCCCTGCAGGTTCTGGACGCTTTTATCCCCTCAGTGGATGAGCGGCTGCACCAGGGCCCAGGGAGGAGCCCACTGAGGCTCCTCCCCACAAGTGACCAGACGGCCCACCCCCAGGAGGGGACAGTGCAGGTCAGGCTCCGTCCCCACCAAAGCCCCTGGACCCAGACAGCAATGAGGAGAGGACGGTTGTGGGGCTCCTGGCCAGTAGCGGGGCCTGACAATTCAGCAGGGGTTCTCAAAACTTTCTTGAGCCTTCTCTGCGCCAGGCTCCTGGTAGCACAGTGGGAAGAGGTAAGTTGGCCTAGCTCTACCCACGGGGAGTGCACCGGGGAGGGGAGACCGCAGATAAACATGTGGTTCCAGGGCAGGGCAGGAGGTGGGGGGCTGACACCATAGGACTCCTGCGTGCCACCTCCTCCCCCAGACTGAGTCCTGACGGAGCCGAGGGTGGGGTTCAGAGGCAGGGGAACCTGTTCTGAGCTCAGAAACGGTGGCGGAGCCCGGAGGACTGCCCTACATGTGGGAACAGTGCCAGGCCCGACCCTCTCCCGGCCTTGGGGCCCAAGAGTGCCACGGTCCCACACGTGGCCCGCTGAGGCCCTCCCGCCTCCGACACCCCAACAGGGCCCAGGCCTGTGGGTCGTAACAGCTACCCTGTACCCGCAGGACCGTCAGGGACCAGGCTCCAGGGATCCCCACCCAGGGGTGGGGTGGGTTTGGGAAGTCACACACCACTCAGAAGACTGGGCAGGGGGGCCCCACAGAGTCCCAGCCTCAGCGGAGGGCACAGCTCCCCCTGACGGCCAAGGGACATCTCAGCGTGAGAACAAACTCGCTCTGCTCCTTGCGTCCCGCTCACAGAGGAGCTCCCACACAACCAGTGACTGTTGAGTATCATAACACTGGTAACGCAGTCCCATCCACAGAGCACTGCATGAGCCCCTTTAAGTACAGCGTTTGGTTTCACCCTCACAGCTCCCCAAGAGGGAGCTACCCTGACATCCTGATTTTTCAGATGAGGGTATTTATAAAGCTACCAAATGGCAAGCCTGGTCTTGCACCCAAGCCTGTAATGTTGAGATGCCTAGTGCTCTTGAGCCCTGCTGCTTGCCCCCACAGGAAGAGCAGGACGAGCAGGGATGAGAAAGAGGCAATGACTTGTATTTGCCAGCATGGGAACCCAAGATGCAAACCCTGCTGATAATTCTTTAGAGAGCACCAGTCCAGCCTCTGCTGCAGCTTCCCCATCTTCCCAGGTCTGATTTAAGGGCTGCACTGCCAACTGCTGCCACAAGAGGGCGAAGTGTCAGGACCAGTGCCCACTCTTTCCAACCTAAACCCTTTGCTGCTGGTTCAGAATATCAGCAGTTTGGAACCAGGAATCATGGATTGCTCCCACTGAACAAGTGAGAAAATGAACAAGCCCAGAGAACAAGGACTGGCCGTGTCATACAGCAGGTAACCAGCAGGGGTCTCCTGAGCCCCAGTTAGTGGTCTCTCCACACTGCACACGATTCAGGCAGCTTCCACTTTCCCAAAGTACCTACTCTGTCAACTGACTCCAGGGACACTGTGGTCCCTCAGTAGGGAGGAAACACATCAGAATCCCCGTGGGAGCTACACAGATTCCCAGCAGCTGCCCCAGGGACCTCAGACTGGCAGGTGAAGGGAGGGTGTGTCTAATGCTCAGCCGATGCCACAGAGCCCCGGTGCCACCCGCCCCCCAGGCTTCCATAAAGTCTCTCCTGCATGGTCGGGCTGCCCCTCCCCTGCTGGGCAGTGAGGGCTGCAGGCTGAGCTCACGTTCCCAGCATCCCCACCTCACCCCAGGCCTCACCTTCTGCCACAGCGACTCTCGGGAGGCGAGCGATGAGCAGGCCGCCACAAACCAGCAGTTGCCCACCTGGCCCTGGTGCAGGTCGTGGGAGCTGATGCCGTCCACAAAGAGGCGCGGGTCCTCACAGATGTCCTGCGGGAAAGCCGAGAGGAGACCTTGTTGTGGTCATCAGGGAGGCTCTCGCAGACTGGGGCCAGGCGGTTCCCCCAGCCAGCCTCCCCCAGGGGCCACCAGGAGAGCCCCCCCCCCCCTTTCCCCCAGCTGGAGAACTCTGCTGCTCTGCCAGCGGTTCCACGACGGACAGATGCTATGGAAGGACTCCGGGGGCTGGGCCCTGGCCACCACCTTCCTCCTGCCCCGTGTCCTCCCCAATTAGCACACCTTTCCAGCACCAGCAGCACAGCGGTGCCTTGCCCAGCTGGCCCTCAGGTGCCCAGTCACGAAGTGGGGTGAAGGCGCCAGGGGAACACACACCAAAAGCACATGTGACGAGCACAGAGGGTGGGAGAAGCGGGGAGCCGACGCCCCGTGCTCCGTGTGGGCACGTCCCCGAGCTGTTTCATTGGACCCTCACTCCCCCTGAGGAGTGTGACACTGTTGATCCATCCCACGATGAGGAATGAAGGTTCAGAGAGGGGCCACGACTAGTCCAGGTCACACAGCAAGCAAATGCGGAACAGAGCTGAGCAGAAGCCCACAGAGCCCCCAGAGCACCCACCCCGGCCTGTCCTCCTCGCCGGTCAGCATCTTCACCCCGCAGAGCTGAAAGGGAGGACATGCGCCCCAAGCGGGGCTGGCTGCAGTGGGCGGTAGGGGGAGGAAATCACTAAGACACAGCTTCCCAGTGCCAGGCATCCTGCACTAGGGTCAGTCCTCACCGTGGTCCTCAGAGGTGGGCACTCTGCTCACTTTACAGATGAGCCAACTGAGGCCCAGCGAGGCGGAATAACACGGCCCATCACACAGC